AATGGGTCCCACGTGCTGCTTGTGGGTCAGTACCGCACAACTTGACACAATAGGAACTATAGCAATTAGGTCGTGCTAAAGCTTGACCCATACCACTAGGCCATGCCGGGCTTGGGTTTTGAAGCCCACGGGTTTGGCACGACACAACACGATAATGTGTGTCATGTTAGCACGATTTGCGACCTAGCTTAACATGACATGAATCTGGTTTGACCTATCGAATTACATAGTTATTGGCTATTTTTCACTTTTTTTGGGTTTCTTTTCTAGAAATTCCCCCAACAATTACAAACAACTAGTTTGGGGAGAGGAGGTATTTGTATATTTTCGCTTTAGGGGAAGGGGCTCAAAAATTGACTTGAATGCCCCCAACATCTATATAATAGCTAGTTGGGCGGCATCTTAGTAAAGTGATAATTAACTTTATAAAAGATCGAAATTCCACTTTCAATAACTAAACAACTAGTTTTTAAGAGTATTTTAGTTAGTTAAATTATTTCCAATTACTATAAATACCTTTACCTTCTCCATTCTCATTATAGCAACTCTCATACTATCTGATACTTTCATACACTGACTTACTCTCACATATTCCCTCACATACTTTCATCTACACTTTGATAATCTCTCATATAATCTATCTTTCTTCCTAATCCTAATTCTCAACTTTATTCAAGTTTCAACAAGGAGAAGACTTGTTCAAGTGTCTCAAGTTTGCAACTTCGGAGGCTTAGAAACTTCGCTAATTAAAATCAAGTTGGGATACTGAACTAGAAAATTGTGTAAGTTATAATTAATTTTCATTTTAGGGTTTTAATATCTAAAGTTTGTTAAAATATTTGGCTCCTCTTGCAATCCCTTTCCTTACAACTTCGATGATGTCTAATGAAATATGATAACATAAATATGGGTGTTAGTGGTATTATTGCTGAGGAATCCACCCCTATTGCTAGTGCTTTAAGGGGTGCCAAGAGAAAGAATGGTGATGTTTAGAAAATATTTTTTCTAGTAGCAAGACCACAACATATTCATAGCCATGGGCCACAATAACTAAGGCTACATTGTAATGCTTTTGGTGAGATCATTGGTGGTTGTGGTTCAATTTGCTTTATACCAAGACAATGTCATCAAGATCAATAGCATGACAACCAACAATCTAGGTGACTTCAGTTGTTGCTCAAGTCTCAATTTTGCCACTTCTCTAGTATGTGACACTAAAAAGATTTCTAATTTCATAGTGGAAAGAGAGTGGTTTTGATTACTTTTTAGATGGGGAGAATCCAAAGAACAACATTCCAATGGTGCTAGGTTGGGCGAAAGGAATTTGGATTAGCTGAACATGATGGTTGTTCAGCGGGCTGTGGAACCAATGATGAGGTTCCACACCAGTAATAAATTCATGGGCCCCATTGTAAACGGTGCATGCCCCATGTATTTAAATACTGGTGTGGAACCTTATCATTGGTTCCATAGCCAGCTGAACAACCATTGCATTCAGCTAAACCTTGCTTGGGTGAAAGGCATTAGGACATGCAATTTGCTAACATTTCTTCCAATTATAGTGCCAATGTGGAATGCAAGAACATGACCTCTAGAGATAAGTGAAATTTGCTGCCACTATTGGTTTGGCGTTCAAACAAAGAAGAAAGTGAATAGTGATTTTTGAGGATTACTCTCAAGGCTGCCTTGGCTTGTCCTGATGTATGTAAAGGGTGCATGCTTAGGTTAGGCATGTGAGTCATTGGTGGATTCAACAAGTACAGTGGAAGGTTTATCCGAGTTTGTTGCAGTGGTGGAGGGAAGAAGAAGAAGAAGAAGAAAGATGATGATAATAAGATAGAGAACTGGGGTGAGCTTACTTTATCGTGATGGTTTTTATCTAAAGTCAAAAGGTAGAAGAAAATGAACTGTACAAAAGGAGAATCTAAAAATGGGTATTTTTACAATTTTACCCTCATCCTGATGTTAGTTTAACGGAGTTAGACTTTAGTGTATATTTCTGGAAGTTCAAGGTCTTAAAATGCCACACTTTGAAAGTTTAAGCCCTTAAGTCTGTAATTTACCCTACATATTTATATGAAATATATAGACACAAATTTGATGCTAAATTGGGTTTGGGTTGGATCGAATTAGTTAAGGCTTCAACTCTAACCCAATTCACAGTTATATCGGGTTCATACTTTTCAACCCTAATTCTAACCTGAACTTCAAGCCAACCCAACCCTAATTTTTTGAACTAGGTTTGGGCTAACCTGACCCAAGTTGCAGCCCTACGGCACTATCTCAATATTTATTTACCAAAAAATAATTATCTGATTTTATCCTAAAAGACAAAACAATGTTATTTGTTTCAGCCACTTCTCTCATTAATCTCACTCAACATTTGGGGTCAGCTTTTGAGCTTCATGGACCTTGTTTCATTTTACACTCTATTTAGAGCGAACCATAATAAAATAAGATGGGCATCTCCACCATGATGAGCCAATTTGCCATTTGGTTGCAAAGAAAATGAAGAAAAAGGAAGAAAATCTCAAAATAAAGTAACTTTCCTAGAGAAATTAAAGAGAAAAAAAAGTAAAATTTTTCTTTGACCTCTTTCATTTTCTTACCTAAGGCTATGTTTGGCTTGGTAAAAACATAAGAGTGAAAACATCTTAAAATTTAGAGTAAGAAGAGAAAAACAATGGATAGTGAGATGTAAATGAGTAAAATGGTGGGTTTGAAGCGAATGTCATGTTCGAATTTGAACTCCACATACCAAGGTTTTTAAAATCGGATAGGACAGAAAACCATTTTGGGTCTGGTTCCCGGGTCGAATGGTCTGACCATCCAGTCTGAATGGATGGCCCATTCTGACAAAAAAATAAAAAAATAAAAGAAAACAAAAAATGGCCAAAAATCATTGTTCGGGTTGATGGTTCGACCACCTGGGTCAGTATGGTTCATTGACCAAATCAACAGCTGACCAAATCAACAGTTTTTGGTTGAATCAGAACCAATCAAATGACAGGTTCCCAGTTTTTCCGGTCTAACCATCTAGTCTGGTCTGGTTTTGAAAACACTGATTTACTTCATAAATTTTAAAATAAAATGTTGTCCTTTCACAATTAAAGGGTTTCTGGAGTGCTTATAAAACCCTCTATTGTTTTTTGAGACTTTAAACACCATGTTTGTTGAACTGATAAATAGACATCAGTTTGAATCGTTTAAACTTTAAAGTTTTACTCGTAATATTGGTCTAATCGTGATAACTTATGAGCCACATTTTTTTATGCTGTAAAAAATTGAATTTCTTGATTCATGAACTTGAGGTTTCTTCAACTAGTAAAATTATTTTTTCTAAATTCTAATACTTTATTGGATAATTAATTTCAAAATGAATAAAAGTTATCATCATGAATATGGTTATTTTTTGGGTAATAAAATAAAAATTGTATTAAAATAGAGAGGAGAGGAGAAAGTAGATACAACGGGGTCAAGATATATAGGACACCACAAAATAATGTGGTTAATTATTTGGTTAATGGCATACTTATGCAGGTTGTTTATTTGGTAGCGTTATAGTTTTTTATAATTAATATTAATAAGTAATATGATTAAAAATAAATGAACTCTCATTTATTTATTCAGTTCCATTCGCAATTCTCCGGCGAATGCCGTTATGGAAGGCAATTACAGTATTTGGTATCGGTTGTAATGTGGGCTTTGTCATTTTTTGTGGATTTACCCGAACCATGCTATTATCAGCTCTTTGCAATCTCTTTTGGGAACCTCACCTATCTTTTCTCTTGCCCTTTATGGTGGATTGGAGTTATTCTTTTCTATTTCGTTGGTAATTTTTCGACTCTGGATCTTTTGCCCACGCCTACCCACAATATACTACCCCCTTTGAATTGGGAACATCTCCCCCAGCATAATACTATGCACAGGATGAGATGTTCTCCATGTATGACTGAGATAAACGTGGACAAGAGATCCAGACTCTAATTTTTCATCTTTATTTGATTGCAAAAATTCTTTTGTTCTCCTACATCCATTTCTATATTTTGTTTTTTCATGAGAAATTGTATTTGGGTTATGATTGGTCTTTTTGGCAAGTCTATGTACTCGAATCAATTTCTTGAATGAATGAAATACATGTTTTAAGCCTTAAAAATATAAATGAACTCTCGTTAAATTGGAACATAATTATTTCTAAGCTAAGGTACAGCTTTTGAAGTTATAGATTAATTTAGTGCAACGTGCAAATAATCACCTGAATTAATCAATTTATGAAAAACTTAAACACTGCATTATAAGTAGCTTACTTTGCGTAAAATAATAGAACTGATGCATTACATATTTCTCCATTTAGATCTTATTTTTTTTTCTTAAAAAAATAAAGCTTTATTTTATTAAGGGGTGTTTGTTAATGTGTGAATACAAATTGAGATGCATGATTACCGAAAAAAAGGAATACAAATTGCGATAATCACTTGTAAAGTTCTTTATTTTATTACGGGTTACAACAATCCAATTCACACATCAAATCAAGCCAATCCCAGTTTTCCCAGGAGTGGTGATTGGCGATTTTATTTCATTCTGTAGAGTTTCAAAGTGAAAATGAAACAGAAGGTAGGTTCTAGTGAGACAGGAGAAGAGAGAAAGATGAAGACCGATCGGAGAAGATGATTGACGCCGTCTGTCTACGTGAAGCTACAGTGGTTTAAGCCTTTAAGGTACTTGACCACGACCACCCCCATACCCAGAGCCAGAGCCGGACCCGTAGCCAGAGCCCGAGCCATTGCCAGAACCACCTCCACCTCC